CCACGCCCTCTCTCTACACTACACTGTCCACGCCCTCTCTCTACTCTACACTGACCATGCCCTCTCTCTACACTACGCTCACCACGACCTCTCTCTACACTACGCTGACCACGCCCTCTCTACACTGACCACGCCCTCTCTCTACACTATGCTGACCACGCCCTCTCTACACTACACCGACCACGCCTCTCTCTACACTACACTGACCACGCCCTCTCTCTACTCTACACTGACCACGCCCTCTCTCTACTCTACACTGACCACACCCTCTCTTTACACTACACTGACCCCACTCCTCTCTATACTACACTGACCATGCCCTCTCTTACATTACACTGTCCACGCGATATAGTTATTTTCAAATGTTTAACTCACTCTGGAGCTTGAGGCCATTTGGATGCAAAACTATACTGGTTTTTCTGGTTTTTCCTCAGAGTCTTGACAGGCCACACCAGTCTGTGGTGGCAGATACCTGCGACAACTTGTCATTCACTGTTAACATATGTGGCGGGCTGGCACGGCCATGGCATACTCAGCCCCAGATTGGGCACCTTATGTGGCGCACCAGCTCAGCCAGGTTCAGTGAGCCCGAGGGGGGGCAGTGAAGAATTAGAAAAGACAGACAAGAGGAGAAAGCTGGGTCTCAGTGGGATGCTGCCCTCTCAGAAGGAGAAAGACAGCGCCACGGACTACAAGCCGTGTCTTTTCTAAAAAAAATATATTTTTATTGATTTTTTTACAGAGAGGAAGGGTAGAGAGTTAGAAACACAGATGAGAGAGAAACACTGATCAGCTGCCTCCCGCACACTCCCCACTGGGGATGTGCCCGAAACCAAGGTACATGCCCTTGACCAGAATTGAACCTGGGACCCTTCAGTCCGCAGGCCGACGCTCCATCCACTGAGCCAAACCGGTCAGGGCCGTGTCTTTCTTTTATAGCCAAATTCCACGAGGCAAAGTAAGGGCGTGGTCAAGATGTTTACAGCATTCTCGTGGATTTCGATCCTACTCATTACATGCACCTGAACTCTATCAAGCCCACATCACTGACACGTGGGGACACGTGTTCGGACCATAGGTTCAAGCTTACAACTGTAGCTGTTGGCTATCATTGTGCTGGGAGGGCTCTGCCTTCCAAGCTGGGACTTGCACGTGGCCATGAGAGAACTGTGCCCTTTCATTAGTCTGAGGCTTGAACCTGTCCAAACACTGTAGCCGCTCTCCACAAACACAGATCGTGATTTCAGTAGACGGAGTTTGCTGAAGCGGAGGAGACAGTAAGCTTGGCCTGTTATCCTGCTCCTGTAAAACCACCCTCAGCC